CTGCCTGGGTGTGTGCATCGCCCCTCTGCTCACACCTGCCCAGTCCCTGAGGAAGGGCACGACCACACTGGCAGCTGGTTAGCTATTCCACTCCGTGCCTTCCTGCATCCTGCCCAGCCTGCCACCAAGTTCCTTGGCCGGAGTCCGTGGCTGGAAGTGGTTGTCTCCTCTGCTGCATCTCTAACGCCATTTGTTCTCCAGCCTGAGGGCTGCTGCCGGATGAAGGCTAAGCGTGCCAGCAGCAAGGACTCTCCAGGAGTCAAGAGATGCTGCCTCTTGGTGGGCAGCAGTATCTCACCTCAGTGCCAGGGAAGACAGTGGGGAGTCAGGCCCACACCATGGCTGCTCCCTAAACCACTCTCGCAGTGCTTCTAGTGGTCTGCAACCACAAGCTGGGAAAGCCTCATGCAGTGTGACATGGTCATGAAAACCAAGGTGAATTCTCTCAGTGACAGAGCCATGCTGGCTGACACCTCCCATCCCAGCTGGCCACTGGCCATGACAAGCTCCACATATCAGAGGCTACAGCGAGAGAAGCCTCTGCTTGCATGTCGAGCCAAATCAACACGTGGAAAATGCTTTGCAAAGGGACTTGAGGATGCTCCTTGAAAAAAAACAGCCTGCCTTCTAAGGCATGACACCTCAGAGAGGAAATGTGTCAGGTCCCTCCTTGGAAATCCTTCCTCGTCCCTTGGCAGGGAAAATATCAGCCAGGATATTTCATCAGCAATCAGCTCCTCATTTTAAGAGACTGACAGAGCCCAACTTCTGCTAGAAAGTGTAACACGGATCGATCCGGTGGTGCGAGAGGGAAGAGGAGGAGGGAAATAAAGCTTTTGGGTAAGAAAGCCCAAAAACTCATACTCTGTCAAAAAGGTAACTGTTTTGCTGCAGAGATGGCTGCAAGCTTAAGCAATGATGGCATCGCATTTGTTTGCCTTGATGGTACTCTGCTGTGCTTTTTCCAGTTTGAACTCATCCGACGACATTTTAACCCAAGAAAACGATTTCTTCCCTTCTTCCTTCCCAGTGATTCACTTTTACCTGGCAGCGCTGCTGCAGTGCCTTGTGTACCTGCATATGTGAACTGTAATTTAGTGTTTTGGTGCTCCAGTTTCCCCTTCTGGCTGAGCCTCCCCGTCAGACTACTTATCGCATGACGAGCCATCATCTCTCCTAGGAATGGAAAGCTATTTGCAGCCTGAGATTCCCGAGTCTTTTGGGATACTGGGTGTTGCTTTCTGGGTACTTTTCTGGATTTTCCCAGCCACTACAGGAATATGATGGTTCGAGAAAACCATACTCCAAAACTCAAGGAACCTCAAGGTCTCCCTATGGTCTTCTCTAGGGAATGAAAAACACTAACAGAGAGCCAAGTCTCACTTCATTTAGTCAAAATAACATCCTTAGGAAGAAGCCCTGAGAAATAAAGATACCCAGCCCTCTGTGTAGAAAAGTTTGGCCACTTCCTCAGGGGAACCCCGGTACCCCAAGACTTCACCTGGTAAATGGCTTCGTCACAAGCGTTCTGCAGGCCCAGGTTCACCATGGTGTTCTGCAGGGTACGGCCCATGTAGAACTCCAGGGACAGGTAGTAAATGCGCTGGGGAGGCAAAGCAAGATGCTTACACACAGCACAGCACTTCGCTTTCACCAGCGTTGCTTCAAATTAAAAGTAGACTCAAATGCTTTCCAGAGCAGGGACATCTTCCCAAACAGGCTCTTGGTGCCTGCTCCTGAACACCACACACGGCAGTTTGTTTGTCAGAAGGATCTCAGGCAGCATGTGAGCCAACCCTCAGCTGCGCCTCTCCCTGCCAACAGCCTTCTATAGAAAAATCTCGTTGCCTGTTAAGTGTTTCCCTAATTAACTTGGGGCAAGAATTATCTTGGATGCCAAATGGTATATTTATACACTGTCAAGCTCACTTGAGGTGATGCTTACACTGGGCTTTTGAAATTTTCCCATGCTGAGCTGAGGCTGATCCAGACCCTCCTGAAAACCCAGAGCGAGCCCCCCACCCCACACACACCAGCCAGGCTCTGGGCCAGGCCCCTTCCCACTAGGGATTTTCCAGTGCTCCTATCACACGGATCCTCCTGTCCTCCCTGTGCCGAGTTTTTCACACTCATGTCACTCGGTTGAACAAACTGTCCCATGGGTGGCAGGGTTCCCAGCACATCTGTGCAAGACAGGCTGCTCTGCGGTGACCTTCCAAGTTCCAGAGGAGCTGTGCCTGTGCCACGAATGCTAATGAAAGCCTGTTTGTAGGATGAGAAGCATGCTATGCAAACTTCTTCCCTCACTCAGATTTATCACTATAGATGTTTTCTATAAATAAACAGGAATTCTTAACAGAGCAATAGCCTGACTTTAAATCGTGCTTCCCCTTGAACTTCTTTCATTGCTGGGATCTTTCCCTGATAGCCTTGAGACATGCTAAGCAGCAGGATTACCCGCTCTGCCACCTCTGCTGGGAGTCCAGAAAGGTCCATCTGTTCCTTGGGGCTCATCGGAAAGACTGAACACATCGCACAATTGCATAAATACCCTGCTCCTCTGAGTCTCCTGCAGGGATGTCTTTCAAGTGAAAATCTAAGTGCAGGGGACAGCAAGCAAACCTACTCCAAGCTCCTCTTAACCTTTATGGGATCGGTAGAATCCCTTCTGTTAGCGCAGCAACACAGATCACACCGTATTTACGTGAGTAAGGGTAAAAGGGAGAGCTCCACGCACTGGCGTAACTCCCAGCGTGCGTGCAGCTGTACCAGCGTGAAAGCGGAGTTTGTTTCTTTTGTCAAGGCAATATTCATAACCCCAAGAAAAGAGATGACTTGGGGAGGCAGATGCCTGCACGCTGGGAAAGTACGTGCCTTTTCTAGTACACACCTTCCCTCCGGGGCTCGCCAGTGAAGTGCTGGATCAGCTCTTAATTCAAAAGGATTAGGGCTGAATAACATCCTGCAGCCCCCAACATCTCCAGCATCACTGGCCTGACTTGACAAGTGGGCAGGAAAGGAAGGAGCAGGCCCTTGCTTCGCTCCAGAGGGCACGCAAGCCTCCAAGTCCCCCGGGGAACCATGGACTCCCTGGGTTTGGTGACCTAGGAGAGTTTGCCTGGTTTGCACAAGGCCAGAAACTCCTCTCCAGCCTCAAAGCTGAGCCACCTGTGGGCTCTGCAGGTGCAAAGCCAGGACATGGCTGTGCTGAGGCATGTGCTGGGACATGGAGGTGATGATGCCCACAGGGGACACCACCGCAGTGGTGCAAGTGCAGGACATGGCTGCGGTGAAGGGTGCAGAGGAGCTGGCAGCAGCAAGGCCCATGTGAGGACACACTCACAGAGGGATCACAGGGGACATGGTCATGACAAGGTGCAGGGAGTCACAGTCGTGGGATGCCCGAGGGAGTGAGGGCTGCAGCAAGGCTCATTGAGACAGGGCTGCAAAGAAGCAATGGGGATGCAGCCAAGGCAAGATGTGTGAGCAAGGGACACCGCCATGGTGATACCCCTCAGGGACATGGCCATAATGAGGTGTGTGAAGCCTTGGCCATGGCAAGATGCACGTGAGGGAATTAGCCACGGTGATGCCCATGGGAAAACCGCCAGAGCAGGTTGCATGGGAAGGATATGGCTGTGCTGATGCCCACGGGGACGAAGCCATGCTGAGGTGCACGAGGGACACAGCCATGGCAAGGAGCCCCGGCTGCGGTGATGCCCAAGGGGACGCTGCCACGGCGA